AACTTCATGAAATGTTGGATATGTTAAACATGTTTGAAAATTTACCAAGAAACTAAAGAAAATATCAAAAGGGACCATATTTGTCAATAGAGTGAAAAATGGGCCTTTTATTTACATTTTCGGTATTAATGGGCCAAAATGGTCATTTTTGATAAAAATGAGCCTTTTATGTCATTTTCGGTATTTTGGGCTAAAATGGTTATTTTTTAATAAAAATGTGCCTTTTATATCATTTTCGGTATTTTTGGGCTGAAAAGGTTATTTTTCATAAAAATAGGCTTTTTATGACATTTTCTATTACAATGGGCTGAAAATGAACTATTTAACAAAATTAGGCCAAAAGTGACATTTTTATAAAATGGGCCGAAAATGGATTACGTAGCAAAAATAGGCCATTATTAACATTTTGGATAATATTAGGCCATTTCCAATCAATTTAGTAAAATAGGCCACTTATAACAATTTGGACAAAAAATTCAGCCTTTTGTGGCAATTTTATTCTAATTAGGCTTTATATGACACATTTTATGTTGTGTCAATTTTATGCAAATTGGGCCTTTCAGGAAAATTTCGTTAACAATAGGTTGTTTTAATAACGATGGTAAAAAAAACGAGTTATTCCAACACTCTCGATAAAAAGGATTATATTTTTGGTATCTATGGATTATAGCAAAAAATATACACTCGTAATATTAATTTTTTTTTTCTAATGATGAATAATGAAACACACTAGTTGCGTAAATTCCATTAAGGCTCTTGTGAGACGAACCTTCACCGTACCTACCTTAGTGTACACCGTAAGCCTTGTAGTTATAACCAGAGTCTCTTAGAGGGAGAACGTGAATTTGTGTATAGATCTATACGGAGTTGACACCCCACACCTAAGCTGCTCACTACAACTAGACAAGCCAGTCTAGAGTGATAAATGTCTTCTCAGAAACCGACGTCTGAAGAACGTCAAGACATGCACTGTCATATTAGTATGGTTATAACGACTCACATAGAGAATCATAAAACTATTATAAGATTTATGCTGAATATACATATCACTCAGTTTTGCAAAGTATAAACATTGTGTTGATTATTTTGTATTATTCATCTCACTCCGCTTTTAGGATTTAAGACCATAATTTCTCATAACATAGAAAATACATGATTTCTTTGAGAATCACTCTCTATACATTTCTCAAGCAAGATAAAACCGGAATACACATGCTATATTACAAGATGTGGAACCAAACTCCCAAACTATTGTTACAGAAAATATCAGATTTTCTGGAGCTTACAAACCAATGCAAAGTTTTTATATAAACATGCTTATGAAGTCACCAACATTCTTTGTTAACACCTTTCAAAATAACTTGTATTCTTAGGAATTTACTAAACAGGTGGTAGCTAAGGAACTTGGACTTTTGTTGTATTTTTGTTTTCACCGTACACTTGATATTTTTGGTATGTAATTTTATGTACAAACACAATGATGCAAACCATGTATGTTGTTATCTTGTATGTATGGTGATGATGATGTCTACGTTTCGTTTATATGCACTTGTTATCATATTACAAGATGGAGTCACCCGCTCTCGAATGTTTCTGTCGTTCTGGTTCGGGGGTGTGATATGGGATACTTTTGAAATTTCGGTAGATTAGAAGAGGGGTAGAGAAGAGAAATTGGAGCCAATACGTTGCTGAAAAATTCAAACATATTGGAATGGGTGTAGGAAGTGAAAAAGGCAACCAAATATTAGGCTAGAAGGAGTGGTAATACTCATAGCACCTTATCACATCACTTTTTTTTCCTGTTACGTCATCTTTTTGTCTTAATATCTAAATCTTAGCATTTACTAGAGAGTACGAACACTCCTAGCACTCCAAATTGTTTTTTCTTTTTCAAAATTAATTAATCTGTAGTTTTTTAAAACAACAAACAATTAATATAAAATAAATTATATTTAATATTAAATTAAAAAAGTTACAATAAAATTTTACAGGAGTTTTGAACTAATTCTAGAAATTTATGTTGTAAAAGAAATTCTAAGTTGGAGTCCTAAAATTGAGGGACCAAAACTACCAAATCATGAAATATGTGCCTTTTTTTCTCCTCTACTATCAGACGAACTTGAGAATCTCACTTTTTTTTAAACGTTCAAATTTTGATTTCTTGGAAACAAACTCATTTGCCAATCACATTATCCCATTTCTTTCTCCTTTCTCTTGCTACACCCTTAGCGAGCTCCTCCTCACGAGCTTCATAGTGACCATTGAGCGGTGGTGTAACATATCGAGCGGTGGTGTAACATGTCTTGATGAGGGTGTTGGCCAGAGGGGTGGGGATATATATATATATATATATATATATATATATATATATATATATATATATATATATATATATATATATATAGAGAGAGAGAGAGAGAGAGAGAGAGAGAGAGAGAGAGAGAACCATAATTATTGGTTCTCCAAGGAACCAAATTTTATTTTCAAGTTCTAGAGCTTATTCTTTATCGAAAAAAATAACTAAAAATATCTAAATTCATAACTTAACATTGTAAATGTTAAATATATTTTTCGGATTCACCATGTGAATTTAGATTCACATTGTGAATTTTCAAAGATTCACATTGTGAATTTGACGATTTTTTTTTATCGAATTTGATATCATTGGAAAGAGGATAAAAAGTTATGAATTTCTGTATTTTTAGGTTTTTTTTTTTTGATAAAAAATATGTTCTAAAAGTTGAAAAAAAAGATTGGTTCGTTGATTATTTGGTTGTTTATGGTTTTATATTGAACCTCACTATATATATATATATATATATATATATATATATATATATATATATATATATATATATATATATATATATATATATATATATATATATATATATATATATATATATATATATGGTGGAACCCAAATCAAGTGGGTCCAAGACCCCCCTATCGCCACTGGTGGACACTAATTGAATCATAAACTATTACACTTTCAGTAAACATCACAATTCTTAGTAGCCCGTGTTCTTGAATTAATCATTAAGAAGATCTAAGGAGCTCCATATAATAATTTTCAACTTATGATATGTATCTATATCTCAAACAATATAAGATCACAATTGAATGGACTGAACAAAAACAGTGTAAAGGGCTAATCTGGGTTTGTCACACAAACAAAACCATTAACGGGCTAGTGACATAAGCCCAAAACTTGTAATCCTAATTTGGTCCCAGTTTTGGTCTAAGTTTCAAGTAATCCCGTTTTTCGGATTTTGTCTGGACCGGGTCCGATTTGTTGCTCACCCAAAGACTATATACTAGTGGGTACCTACGAATGCGGAAGACACTGAATTCTACGAGAAATAGTTTTGTTTTAATGATTAGGGTTTAGGGTTTGGGATGGGGTGATGATTTAGGTTAAAAAGACAAAAACATTTAATTTTTTTGGTTAAAATAAAAATATGTTGTTTCTTTGAAAACTTATCATAGTCAAAAGAGCATGCAAGGTCTTAGGTAACATCCTAGAGTATGATTTATATAAGAGGTTTCAGCGTTATATCCTAAGTGATTGATTATATACATTGAACTATAGTAATATGTGTAAAAGTTAAATAATGGCCGAAATAATTGTTTTAAAATAAATAGTAGCTAAATTATTTTATATTTTTATTATTTAACCATAAAAATCAGAAAAAAATGTTATGGTAGATGGGAGGACCATCGTGTGGGGGTGCGACAACGGAGGATCAACATTCAGGACAGGGTCGGTCCAGACTGTGGCAACCCGGGCGATCGCTCAGGGCCCACGTGTCCAAGGGGCCCAAAATTTATGGGCTATCTAGTGTATATATATAAAAAAAATTATTATCTAAATGATTTTTAGGGGTTAAAGTTGGTTAAAAACTCAAATTAGCTCAAAATATAAAAAATTTGGCTTCCTTATTATTGCGAATTGAATAAGTCTATATTAAAAAATAAATGATAATCTTTTTTAATTTTTATTATATCTATCTTTGATGATCCTTTTTTTTTTTGTTACGTCTGAACCCATATATGTTTGGACCGGCCCTTAAGGAAGATACATTTGAAATGTACACAGAATAGATCATGTTTCCTTATTTTTTTATAAGATAACAAAACTCAAAATTCGATGTTATTTACTTCGAAAGAATTTATGATTGTTTCATTTTGCAATTGTTATTGATTAGTCTTGTTGTTTGATGTGTGTACATAAACAAACATCCTTTCTATGTATAATATACATAAAAAGTTCATAAATTTTTAGACCCGGTAATGGAAACGGTTCGGATATTAGGATGCCGATTCCGTTGGCCTTTTTTTTTTTTTTTTTTTTTTTCTTTTTCTTTTTCTTTTTCTTTGAATAAATTGTTTGAATGGTCACTGTGAATTGGAGTAAATAGCATGTTTCGTCTTCAACTTTTTTTTGTTAATTGGAGTCATCCCCAAAAGTTTTTTTTGATGCATATTTCATTCTTAATGTTAACAGTGTTTAGTTTTGGCTGTTAAACCATTGTGAAAAGAAATAACGCTAAAGTGTTGTTCTATTATAAGTAACGAACAATTTTAATCGAGCTACTAATGTTTTTTTCTTCAAATAAATCGTTCATCCTCAGCGATGTCTTTATGCCCTTTCCTTCACAAACAAGCAAATGGAAGAAGTATCTGTCGGCTGAGTGGCTGAGTGGGCGTATGTGTAACTAAGAAGCAAATCCTCTCAATGGTCACCAAAAACGTGTGGGATTTAATTATTTAAATACAACCTTCCATCCGATAAGAACATTTGACCATTTTCACAAAGTCAAACTTTGGCCAAAAAGCATGCGTATATCAACCGGCTTCCAAGCACAATACAACAAACACAAACTTCTATATAAACTTCAACCACAAGTAATCGACAATATCAAGAATAAAAAAGAACATAACCAATGATTCTCCAATTAAGTAGACTAAGATTCTCCCACCATAATAACCACCACCGCATGTCAGAAGTATCTTTATCACCTCTACAAGCTTTCCGGTCCATTGTCACCGGAAACCTACACAGAGTACTGGAAAGTCTGAAACTTGGATCGGAGTTCTTGTCCTTCAAATCGATCCACGAATGTTTTCAGGTGTTACCCATATTGAACAATGAGTTTGCGAAGCTGATGGCGGAGATAGATTATCCGGTGAGCAGTTGGGAAGCTGGTTCCATTGACGAGTATCTTGATTACACCATGAGCATATTGGAACTCCTGAATGCGATTAATTCTTCTCTTTCTCATCTTAATCAAGCTCGTGTGTCACTCTCACATGCTTTGAGCCTCATGGAAAGCACACCGGCTATGGGTGTGGAACGGATGAGAGAGATTACGTTGCATGATTCTATCAAGGGATTCAAAGGTATTGGAAGGGATGAAGAAAGGAATCGAAAAGGGAAAGAAAGGATCTTTCATGAAGCTATTTTGGTAATGAAAGGTACTGCTTTTTGGGTTTGTGGGGTTGTGTTGTATGGATTAAGGAGTGATGCTTGGCCGCTTATGGAGATTATGAAAAGTGGGGTGGTGGTGGATTGTTCCTTGATGCTTTTTGATTCCATCTTTAGGAATAAGATCACTGAGAAAAGGGGATTGGTAAAGGAAGTGGAAGATGTGAATGAGACTGTGCGTATGATTGTATCCAAGGGAATTGGTGATTTTGATGTTGCGATGGAGTTGAAGAGAAGATTGGAGATGGTTAGAAATGGAGTGAAGGGTTTAAAAGAAGAAGAAGAAGGTTTATTTGCAGAGGTTATGGCTGCTAGGAATGAGGTGCTTGAGACACTTAGAAGGAAAAATAAATAGTTAGCAATTACAATATTTTTTTGTATATAACAAACGTAAAATCATGTAGACATGCAAAATAGTGTTGTAATATCTTTATTTCATGTTGTCAAAAAGAATTATATATAGTTGTTTTAGGTTTAAATGGCATCACGCCAATGAAATTTAAGAAGTTGCTATTCCCTTACGTTTGTATTCAACTTTATCATGTATCAAAGTCGGTAATAGGCAATGTCTTAGTTCACTCTCTTTTGAACTTGAACAATTCAGGCTTTACTTGTATCATGTAAACATAGTAGTAGACCGAACGCTTATACAGTTCCAAATATGGGTTAAAATCGTTTAACCATTTTTATCGATCAATGAAATATTCATTTTGCCTAATTAGGACAATTAATCTCTACATTTTCATTCTTTAGTTGATAAGTGTTGGTTGCTTTTTGCTTACCCCTTTCTTTAACTAACCGACTCAGTATTAGCTATTGTATCCATTTTTCGTAAACATTCAAAATTTATACATATTAACATAAAAATCTAATTCTTTATGACTTAATATTACTATCTAGGGTTCCATTTACCAATTACTATCTAGAGAAAGTTTTGGCTAGCAGGAGTAAGGGTGGTTTGAATGTCGGTAGGCTTTGCATTCAATATGGCTGTGCTTTTTTAAATGGAGACAGAAGATTCTTTCATAACCCGGTTGTGTCATAGGTTAGGGTGGTTAAGGCCCTATATGGGTCGGATGAGAGATGTCGGGATCTTAGTCCTTCAGCGATTTGTAAAGGTCCGCAGAATGATGTGATTCGTTATTTAGCTCAGCTTCATGTTAGAGGTTTTGATGTGCATGAGTTTTGTCCTATTCATCTAGGCAACATGGAGACTGCTTATGTTTGGAATGGGGATCGCTATTCGTCTGTAGTTTTTCATGGGATATTTTCTTTGGACCTGTATATGGAGGTTTTGGTTATAAACCTAGTGGATATCGATTGGCCATTTAGCACTCTTAGACAAGCTTCGATGAAATGGTTGAGTATGAATACTGGAATGAGTTCTTAGTTCATATTCGAGGTTTTCTGTTTGCTGATTGAGCGGACATATTGTGTCGGTTATTGGATGGTGTAGATTCCTTCGTGGTTTCTTCCACGTGGTGGTTTTGTATAAGGGATGTTGGTTGTTGGAGGTGAAGGGAAGAAATCGAATATTTGGGTTCCAGTAAAGGTGAACATCCTTATTATTGAATTAGGTGTCTAACCTCATAACTATAATTTGTATAAACTTGAATTGATAGTAGCACAATCATTTTGAGTTGTCTTCAAACCTGACAATTGAATAGGATAATTTTTAGAGAGAGAAGAATGATTTATTAATTTATTACATGGTTAATAAATTAATCTGAAATCAAAATAAAATGATTTATTAATGTATTAAGGAAATAATATATTAATTAGAAATCATATTGTTTAATTAATATTTAATCAGGAATTAATTTGTAATTAATTTTGGGATTAAAGGAATTAATTAAAATTGCAGGGACTAAATGTTACAATGTTCAATAAGTGAGCATTGGGCAATTCTAAAACCTCCCTATAGGACGCAAAACGAAATCTAGATGCTCCTAGGGTTTCATTGGGCTCTAAGGGTGCCTTGTGTGACACCCCCAAGTCGGAACGACGGAAACGTTCGGGGTTTGAGGACATCATGTACAGTATCACAATAATTGTATAATAGTAATCAAAACAACAACAACCATTGTATTGATAATATAAAATTTACATTGTATTCAAAACATTGTTTGCTTAATATTAAAATTATAACAAAAGCTAAGACGTGATGCTACTATGCTCCATCTTCGTAACACTTTTGAGGGTATTTATCGACTAATTCCATGAGAATACAGGTGTTGGGAAAAAGTGTCAACATTAAATTTGGTGAGTTCATAAGCATCTTGTTTTAGAAGGTAAGTTCTTTGTTCCTTGAAAACGTTCGTGTGTTCCTCCAGACAATCCTATATTTTCTTAATAAATAATGATAAGTAATGTGACTATACTAGTTCCTTCTACGGTCACTTAGTAAATAACTATATATAATCAAGATCGAATGCACAGTTGAATGTATGGATCTGCCCTAAGCCCACAACCAAACAAGGAACAGGAAGTAAGGCGGAAATCACACCTTCCACTGCCTATCGAATCTTCATTATATATAACCCTAACGAATTCACAAGGTAATCACAGAGTTAACAATAATGATCCTTTCAGATGTGATGGTTATGTTCCTTTTTGAATGTAGTCTACAATGTACTTAGAAAGGTAATGTATTATAGATGCATTTGTATGCAACCCTTCAGTATTTATGTGCTTAAATAACTGTTCTTCCAAAAATGTGTGTTTTGTATTAAAAAATAGTATATTGTACTTATATGAAATAGTATAACCCATATTTGTTCATCCTATGATCACTTAGTGTATACAAGTTATATATACAAAAGATCGAATGAACAGTCGATTGTGTGGTTCTGCCCTAAGCCCACAACCAAACATGAAATAGGAAACGAGGCATGTGACAACCCGAAAATTTCCATCCACTTCAGTCTAACACTTCATTAAAAGTCAAACTCGTTGCTATTTTCTTTTAGCACAATTAGGAGTTTATTTGAGCGTTCTGAGCCTTGTACACTTAAGGAATAAGTGTCGAGGTTTATCTGCTGAATCTATAGCTCAAAAAACAAGTCTGGAACACCTTGACCGAGAGTTCAAGGCCAGCACATGGGAGTTTACGGTTATAAACTCCATGTGGGCCATAAACTCATCCTATAAGGTGAAGTCTTGGCCATTTTGTTCATTCCTTTCATCCTCTTGGCCCTAATCCTCCGAACTATCATCCGGATCTGCATCCCCGATCTTCAAATTTCGTAAGTTTATTGTCTTAACTAATTGATATTGATAGCTTCATTTTATTTACTTATTTTTATAGTTTATTTTAGTACATTTCATTCGCATTTTAGTTAACTTTCATGCATATTTTCCCTTTTGTTATTTTTATGACCATTTCGGGGTACTTTCTAGTTTCTTGAGCATTATTGCAGATTTTCTTGGAAACTAGCGGGGCGGCACTCTTGCGAGGCGATTGGGCTTGAAGGGAATTGGAGATTTCATGCTTGATGGCTATGAAGGTGATTCATGGGGTGGACTTGTCAATTGCTTGAAGGCTTGGAAGAATTGAGCTTTAAATTTGAAAGATGTGGGGGAACATTCAAGCGTATGAAAATTATTAATCGGGCGAGTTCACGAGCTTTGGAGGATTTAGAGAGGTCAAATTGGGCTTTAAATGAAGAAAAACTTGAAGAAAATGGGCTAGGAGGTGATTGGATTCGATCTGGGCTAGTGGGATATGCTTTAGAGGCCCAAAATCTCAAAGGAGCCCATGTCAGGTACCACCCGCGCAACCCACCCGCGCAGCAGCACGCGGGTCGCGCAAGGCCCTGCAGGGGCAATTTCGGAAATCCTTCTTTTGAGCTATTTGAGGAAGGTTGGTGCCCATCTTTTGCATACTCTTGCCCCGATTTTTGAAGATTCTCTCTGGAGTTTTGGGACTTTTGAAGGCCAAGAACCCTTGAAGAACATCATATTTTTACCTCTTGATTCTTGCTTAATGTTTGGTACAAATTTCTCTAACTTTGTTTCTTTGTGTTTAGCCATGCTTGGCTAAACTAATCTTGGTTGACTTTTGTTAATCCTTTGAACTTTTGTTGAATGTTGAAGAATCCATGAACATGTTCTTGAATCTTTATGGAAATGTTTTGTGTTTTAACATCTTATCATTACTTGTATGTTTTAGTTCATGAGTTTAAATGTGTTTGTGGTGATTAGTTGGCTAATTTCTTGATTAAGTAAAGGATCCTCAAATTAGCAAGCAACAAATGATTTTTGTGTTGTTTTTGCTTCACACAATCATAAAAACATTTCCTCCAACATGGTGGTGAAAGCATTTGACCCCTCTTGGATTTGGTGACTTTTTGGTTCTTAATGCTAGTTGACTTTCACTAATTACATGCTATTTGGAATTAGTGACTTTGACTAAGGAAATTGTTATGAGCTTCTCTAGCCATTTCAACAATTAAGAAAAGTCTAGGTAATCTCAAGCTCCTTGGATTACTATAGCCAAATTGAGGATTTAAAACAAGTATTGCACCATTGAATTCTAATGATATGTTCATCAAAAGTCAAAGTGAGAAAACTTTAAGTCAACCATCTTTCCCTTATTGATTTTACATCAAATTCTTATTTTTGTTGCAATTGTCTATTTAAATCATAGTTAATTCTAGTTTGTTTCAAGTATTCAAAACACCAAAACCCCCCATTTTATTTTTATTGTTATTTTACAAGTATTTTTACAAAGAGATTTTTCATAGAGTTAGAAATTGAACCAATCTCCGTGGATTCGATCCCTTTACCACTATACACTATTTTAGTGTGTAACATTTAGGGTTATTATTTGTGTTGGCCTCGACAACCACCAAATTTTTGGCGCCGTTGCCGGGGATTGGTTTATTTTTAATCAATTTGTTTCTCTATGCCCAGATCTCAGCGTACAGGTGACTTGATTTACAATCCAGAAATCGAAAAAGAAGCAAGGCGTTTAGCAAAGGAAAAGCGAATTGAACGTGGTCAAACTTCTAATCCTCACGGGGATCCGGAGGTCGAAACCGCTTCATTAAGCGATATAGAGCCCGATTCTAGTCCCGACCTTCGCCAAGAAATTCCCGAAACACCACCCCTACAACAAAATCCACCCATTATTGAACCAATTGAAATGGCGGACGGAGGAGAAGTTCCCGAAAGAACTTTGAGGCAAATGATGGAGACCGATGTTACACAAACTCCAACCGGTATCAATTACCCGGTTTTGGAAGGAGGCTCGGAGTTGAAGTCAAGTTTAGTCCATCACCTACCGACTTTCCATGGATTGGAGAATGAAGACCCTCATAAGCATTTGAAGATGTTCCACATTATTTGCACTAGCATGAAGCCACAAGGGTCAACCGATGACCAAATCAAGCTAAGGGCATTCCCCTTTTCATTGGCCGATAGAGCAAAAGATTGGTTATTCTATCTTCCACCGGGGTCGATCAACTCATGGACCGACATGGCAAGAGCTTTCCTTGACAAGTTTTATCCCGCCTCAAGAGTCTCAAGTCTTCGAAATGAGATTTGTGGAATCCGCCAAGGTCAAAATGAGACTTTCCATGATTATTGGGAGAGGTTCAACAACTTGTGCTATAGTTGCCCGCAACACCAAATTCCGGAACAACTCCTCATTCAACACTTCTATGAGGGATTGTTACCAATGGAGAGAAGACTAGTTGATGCCTCAAGTGGTGGAGATGTCTTTAGTAAAACCCCACAACAAACAAGACAACTTTTCAACACCATAGCCGCAAATTCACAACATTTTGGCCCTCGCCAAGACATGAAGAGAGACACAACACAAAGTTAATGAAGTGGGAACATCGAATCTTGAGTCTCAAATAAAAGATCTAACATCCGTCGTCCAAAAGCTAGCCATGGGACAAACTCCACAAGTGATGGTTTGTGGAATATGTGCAACCATGGGACATCCTACGGATATGTGTCCCATCCTTCAAGAAGATGCGGAGCATGTGAATGCCACGGGAGAATTCCAAAACTACCACAACAAACCATCCGGGTACCAAAATGCATATAATTCAAGTTGGAAACCAAATCCCAACGGAAGCTACAACCCAAGACCATTGCCTCACAATGCATTGGTTAGACCGTCCTATCCACCACCACAACCTCAATACCAACATCAACAACCACACTATCAATCCAAACCGCACCCTCCACATCATCATCAACAATCTCCTCAATCTCAACCAAGTAGCTCCGGAATGTCTCTTGAAGACATTGTCAAATCTCTAGCCACTAGTACCCAACAATTCCAAAAAGAGACAAGGACTAGTATCTCCAACCTTGAAGCACAAATGGGAGATATAGTTACATCTATAAGCAAGTTGGAATCTCGTGGTAAACTCC